TGTCTAGGATTTCAATGAATTTTTTAAGTCATAAACCAAATACTGGAAGGAGTTAATTACGGTTTTTAAGCAAAAACTAAATTTGGCATGCTGAGGTTACAACTTTAACTGTAGTAACAGAATACCACTACACACAAGTATAAATTTATAGAAAGTACATCCCTAGGACTATGTAACTTAGAGCATTTTGACACTTTTCATTTAACCATTTTATCACAAACCTAGGTCAAATTTGTTATTTGTTTGTGTCCCCCCCCCACACACGTATTTTGGGCAAATTCACAGACCTCACTTCTCACTACTTCAAACACCCCAATTCTCACTACTTCAAAAACCCCATATTTTTATTCTGTTACTGTTCTCAAATTCAGGGTTATCATACATGTATATCCTGCCTCTAATCCTATCCCTAATAGTGACCCTAATCCAACCCTTAATCTAAACTATAATCCTACTCATAATCTAAACCCTTTTCCTATCCGTAATCTAACTCATAATCCTACTTATAATTCCGGTCCTAATCCCATCCCATTATCCCACCTTGCAAGGGATTCCCTCTGCTAACACCAGTACTGACATCAGCAGAGGGATTTCCTAACTCTATGAGCCCTATGTACAGTGTGATTGCAGCATGGGAGGGAGAGCTTACTTTTCAGACTCTCCAAAGATACCTGGGGTTTCTTAGTACCAGCAGGGTTTATGCTGTCACTGAGTATTAAAGCCATTCACGGCATGATGGCATAGACCAGGGCTGCCCAACAGGTAGATCCCCAGATGTTGTAGAACTACAACTCCCATGATGCTTTGCATACCTGGGGTTCCTGCTGCTGGTACATTAATTGCATGATGGTTTATGTTGTCACTGAGTATTAAAGCCATGCACGGCATGATGGCATAGACCAGGGCTGCCCAACAGGTAGATCCCCAGATGTTGTAGAACTACAACTCCCAGGATGCTTTGCATACCTGGGGTTCCTGCTGCTGGTACATTTATTGCATGATGGTTTATGCTGTCACTGAGTATTAAAGCATAGACCATCAGGTAGATCCCCAGATGTTGTAGAACTACAACTCTCATGATGCTTTGCATGCCTTTAGAATGACAAAGCATCATGGGAGTTGGAGTTGTACAACATCTGGGGATCTACCTGTTGGGCAGCCCTGGCATAGACTGTCATGTGGTTGTTAAGTGGTTAAAGGGACACTAGATTCACCAAACCAGCTTTAGCTTGATTAAGCAGTTTTGGTGTATAGATCATGCCTCTGAAGTCTCAAAGTGATTTAACTCCTAAATGGCAGAGAACTGAGCAGTGACACTGCAGGGGCATGTGTACTGGTAAAATGTATGCTCAGCAGTCCCTTTTCTCCCCTCCCACCGATGTCCCAGTTCTGGGATGTCCGATGTTGGGAGGTATGTAAGCGGACACTTTACACACAAACTTCTCAGTAAAATAATTCATCCACCCCACATACAACAGGTGAACTCAGCAATGTTTAGGCTCTGTAGTGCCTTTGTCAAGTTGACGTTTGCTAATAGACAAATATCCCTTAATAGGCACTAAAAACAGCTGCCCACAATTTAGATCAAGGGAAAGGCTGTTTTCAGTGTCTGTTAGAGGATGGTTCGTTGCCTTTTGTCTTATCTCTAATGGATTGTAGACAAAACACACAAGGAACCACCCTTCTAACATTTTATTGGTATTTGTCATAGTGACAGTATTTTTGTCTTAACCCTGATTTGATGATTTAGGTGACAGTATTGTCATTGAGAGCTCATTTACCAATTGCTTCTCATTATTTAACAATTCCTTTATCTGTATGTTAAATAAAACAAGCTCTGTAAATGATATCTATAAAAAGTGCACATTGTTACTGCTTGTCTATTCTATTTTTATATTTGAATGCATCCTCTGGGAGTCTAGGTTGTTTAAAATTCTTGCACCCTTCGTTAATAAAATATACCAATATAAGATGGTATGCTGTATTAAAAGGTGGACAGCTTTTTTTTTATGAGAGTAGAGTAATAATAAAGACAGACTAACTGAGGCATTTAGGGTACAGTTAACATCAGGACAGCAACATTTTGGCTCTTGATTGAGCATTTTTCAAGTTTGAATTAGGTTCTATAAAGAGCTGAAATGTTGCTGCTTTTATCCCTCTGAGAATAAACCTCCCATATGAAATATACCCTAAGTGTCCGGTCATTCTTTTCATTGGTGAGGGGCACTGGGGATTGTTGAAGGGATATGTGTGAGTGCCATTCCCACATTCCTTGATACTAATATTTAGCATAGTGCCTCTTTCCATTGTAATAGTGCCTCCCAGACCCCATGAATGCCATAAAAATAAATAAAGTATTTTACTCATCTGCTTACCTCTCCCACTTACATTGCAGGGTTAAGGATACAATGGGATGAAGTGGTTTGGTTGTCTATAGTGTCTATTTACGTACACAGATAAAAACACGTTTGTAAACATTGAATTTGTAGACATGTGGTTTACAGTCACAGGACAGAAAACTGTCATTAATTAGCATGACTTCTAACATGGTATTTCCAAATACAAGATTTCTAACAATATGGGGATCTTTAATTAAGAAAATCTTCTTCAGGTCCATAGCCAGGACTAATGACTTAATGGCCTACAGCAATAACACAAGTTTGAAGCCAACTTAAATACAATAATGAAACTCTGCTTTTGAATGAGCTAATAAAAGATTTCACTTATATAAATACTGCAAGTCATAACTGAAACCATTGATTCCATGCATGTTATACTGTTCCTATTTGTTTAATTACATTTCTTGTTTCCTTTTTTCATAGCAAAGGATGTCATTTGCAAGCAACGTCTTTAAACAAGAAGGGTTGACCATCAAAGAACTTCTCAATTCAGAAAATGGTTACGAACAGTCTTTCTAGAACAAACTGCAAACCTGTTTTAAGTTGATGTGCACAATGTCATGTAACATTCTCAAAATAATTAAAGGCTGTTTGACCTCTCCAGACGTTATATTGCCTATTAACCTTCAGCTTATTCTCTATGATCTCTGACCAGTCTAGGGCTTCTTGTAAAGTAATGTACATCTGGTTTAAGAGATAATGCTGGTGTTAGTTCTACTTAATATATACTTAAAAATAATTATAAAATGTCTAGCAAAAGAGGCAACATTTGGTACCAAACTTTACTTTCCCAGATAATGTATATTTTGTTTAAATGTTTTGGGGTGGAATGGCTAAACACATTGTATTGTTGAGCAATGAAACATGCTTCAAAATATTATAAGATGAAAAAATGTAATATCAACAATTGTTCCTAAAATATATATATATATTTATTTATTTGTATTCAGATACAATAAGCCAAGTTATAGTAGTGGTGGTATAAGTCGGTTGTGGTGTGTCAAAACAATGTTCGGTAAGCCTGTAAAAAAAAGAGGGTCCACCAAGATGAAATTGCTTAATAAAGGTAGTAATGGTTGGGCTTAACTAGGTGGTCTCAGCCCTGTGGAAGGGGGCAACCTAAGAATTTATTGGCCAGTTAAACCCTCCCACAACTACAGCTTAGCCTTCTCATATATCAAGCATATATATATATATATAGAAATTTGTATGACAGGCAGATAAATATGATTTTTTTCTTGCTTCTTCTTACCTGCTTTTGACATCCACCCCAGGAGGGTATCTTGGACTGTCGAATTGTACATGTTCCATTCAATTGTGCATGCCTACTGCAACATTTCAAGATGTCACTGATAATTCCTAGGATACACGCTGACAGTGAACACATATTGTGTAAGTTCACAGATGGCACTTCAAACAGGTAGCAATGTTGTTTAGACGCCACCAGCCGTCTTGCTGCAGAGCTTTGCAAGATTCCCTGTTTTCATTATGTAGGGATAATTGTGGGGAAAAATCTTGTCAATTAATATCTGCAGTAATACCTTGGTGACTTCTTAATCCAACCTGCAGCATATAGGAGAACATGACTCCAGGGGACCCACCCATTTCTTGGACAGTAATAAAATGGCCTGGGGAGTTCTGAGAACTCCCTAAAGTGTTCTGCTTGGATTAAAACCTCCCCAAAGTGTTCTGCTTGCATACGAGCGATCTGCTCTCCTACTCCCTGAGCCTGCTTTATGTTTCATGGAAGCAGCTATGTAGAGGGGGTTTCGGGTATGTAGCATATCATATATGTGCTCTGTGCACTGTTTAGGAACACTCTGTTTAGTAGGAGTTTATCTCTGCCCTCCAAACCCAGGATATGGTTAATGTAAATCCCTAATGGGATTAGAGCACTGCATGTGATAACGTAATGGCTTCCACTCCTGCTGTACTGTAAAGGAGGTCTGTGGTCCATGACGAATACTGACCTATTATGGAGGCAAAACGCGCATCGGACCTGTATTTTAGCTTGTCTTACTAGCGGTCCTCTATTTTATTTTTTTTTTTACACATTTTATTTTTGGTCATAGTATTAATGGGAACATAGAAAAGTTGAATTTTACGTGACTGTTTTAGGTCAATGTAGTAAGTAGGCAGGATTATCTCCAGAGAGGTCCATGTCGTGTCCCCAGTGATAGGATTCAGATCAGACTATCTTGAGTTATTTGCTTTCTGATCCTGGTGTTAGTGCTCATTGAGAACAATGACTAGGGATGAGTGAAATAACATACTATATATATGTAGTAGTTTTGTAGTGTCTGCAACACAAAAAGGGACTTCTTTATTAAATGTCTGTCAGTGAATATTTATATTGTTTTTCTTGCTATAAGTGTACTTATTCTTACTCTGAAACTTTATTAACTAAGCGTACACCTTGTACAAACATAATTCTGAAAGTAGGTCTCGTCACTTTATAATAGCAACAAAATAATATTTCTTTGCATTTTTTTTTCCATTTAAAGATTTTTATTGGTTTTCATCTTGGCAATGCCATAAACACAAACATGACTTGGGGGAGGGGAGGGGGTACAGAACGAAAGCGGGGGGGGGGAAGAGGGGGTCCATACCAAGTTTTTTACATCAATGTTTACATTCACAATTTTTGAGATCTCCGGGTGTGTCATTTTCCTACATACATTTTCTAAGTTCTAAGTTCGTACGTCTGACCACTTCTACATTTGTCCCTAACATGGGGTATTGTTGCTCGCTTGTCTATCATTATCTGGCGATCGACCCTGGGAGTCGAGTACGTCTAGTAGTTTAGCCGTCGGGTGTGTCTCCTGTTCCCCTCATTTCCCACAGCCTCCATGCTTCAACTGCTGTGTCTGTCAAGGGAAGGACCCCTCGGTAGCAGGTTTCATATAGGTGTTGTGTATCAATGTCCCTGCAGACCTCTGCCACCAGTGGTGGTCGTTGGGATTTCCACAACCTAGCTATTGCCCTCTGAGCTGTCAAGAGGATGTGGAAGGCTAATTTCTGTATCCCTTTAGGTATATTGCTTGGCATGTGTAGTAAGAGACTTGTTATGGGTGTGGAGGGGAGTTTGGTGCCTGTTGCGGCTCGAATCAGGCAGTGTATGTTGCGCCAGAAGCTGGTGACTAGTTCACATTGCCACCATATATGAAGTACTGTACCCTCTCCCTTTCCACACCTCCAGCACTCCGGGGGTGAACCTGGGTATAGTTTGTGTAAGCGAATGGGGACCATGTACCACCTATATAGGGTCTTCCTATATTGCTCCAATAGCACCTCCGACTTAATTAGTTTTTTGGTCGTCACTATAGCCCGCTCCCACTGATCTTTACTTATGTGGCATTGTAGGTCTTGTGCCCAGTGCTTGGCTGGATTGGAATCTGCAAAGTGTTGTGTGGGTCGGATGAGTTGATAACACCAGGATAGTGGCTTAAATGTCGGTGCCCAAGAACCTCTAGTGGTTGTTTGTTCCCATTTCGTCATACCGAGGGGGTTGTCATCTGGGGCAGAGGACTGCCCTGCGTGTTTACGTATGAATGAGCTTAACTGTATATGGGAGAATTGGGAGGCCTCTGGTATGTGGAATTCCTTTTGGAGAGTTGGGAAGGTTTTTAGTTTGTTATGCGCAAGTATTTGGTGCAAATATGTGACCCCTTTAGCTATCCATGGCTTGGCGTTGAAGGTTGGGATGCAGTATGTGATAGTGTTGAGCGGGGTGGCTGGCGATAGAGGGGTAGGTGTTACCAGTTTATGTCTAAGCTTGTCCCAAGCCCTGACTGCTATTTTTAGCTGCGTTGGCATCTGTGGAGTATCTGGTCGAAATTTTTTAGGGAGCCACATTATGGTGGGTACATCAAAGGGTTTTATGGCCTGTTTTTCCATTAGCACCCATTGCGGTAAAGCCGTGTTTGTGAAGTGGGGAAGGGTTGTTGCTAATAGCGCTGCTTGGTAGTATGTCTTGATGTCTGGTAAGGCAAGGCCACCCTGTCTCACCGGTGTTTGTAGCAGTATTCTCTGCACTCAAGCTTTTTGGCCCCCCCACACAAATCTATTAACGTCTTTTTGTGTGTCTCTAAGGTAGGACATAGGTACCTGAATTGGTAAGTTTCTGAACAGGTATTGAAGCCTCGGGAGTATGGACATCTTAACGGTTGCTACTCTCTCTGTCCATGTCAGAAACAGGGTGCTCCATTTTTTCATTAGTTGGCGGCAGTCTCCCCACACTCTGACATAGTTGGCAGGGAAGGTTTCTGTAGGGTTTTTTGTGAAGGTCAGACCTAAGTATTTTATCGTGTCTGCCCTCCATTCAAAATTGTGGTCTTTTTTAAGTGCTGTGAGTGTTTGTTGGCTAAGCCGCACTCCCAGTGCTTGTGTCTTGCTGGCATTAAGGGAATAGTAGGACAACGTCCCGTATTCTTTTATGAGGTCTAAGATAAGTGGGAGCGATTGCTCTGGTTTAGAAACGCAGAGGAGTATGTCATCCGCAAATGCGCTAATTTTAACTTCCCTGCCATGTACCTCAATTCCGCGGATACCCTCTCGCTGCCTAATTTGGACCAGTAGCGGTTCCAGGGCTAGGACGTATAGTAGCGGCGACAGGGGGCATCCCTGCCTCGTACCATTCGTTAGAGGGAATGGGTCAGAGAGAAAGCCGGCTTGCAGTACCCGGGCGGTGGGACCTGCGTATAAAGCAAAGATCTGTTTGATAAATATTGTGGGGATGTCATACTTTAGGAGCGTATGTTCGAGAAATGCCCAATTCAGCCTATCAAATGCCTTTTCGGCGTCAAGGGCTAGTAGAAGCCCGCCGTGACCCGATCCTCTCATCTTCTCTAACACTAAGGAGAGCTTTCTGGTGTTGTCTCTGCCCTGCCTACTTTTAACAAAGCCTGTCTGGTCGTCCCCTATGATAGTTGGAAGGATGTGTGCTAGTCTGTTGGCCAGTATTTTGGCATATATCTTTGCATCAGTGTTGAGGAGGGAGATGGGTTGGAAATTTTTGCAATTGTCCGTAGGCTTGTCAGGTTTCGGAAGTGTCACTACCGTGGCCACCAGCATTTCAGGAGGGAGGGAGCCTGTCTCCGTCGCTTTATGGTATACTTTGAGCAAGTGTGGGGTTAGTATGTCAATGAATGTTTTATAGTAGGTGTTGGGGAGTCCGTCTGCGCCTGGGGATTTTCCCGGGGGCAGGTTCTTAATTACCGCTCGGATCTCCTGCATAGTAATCGGTTCGAGTAGGGCTTTCGTGGAGTTGTGGTCCAACTTGGGGAGGTCTATATCCCGTAAATAGTTGCATATAGCTTGTGTGTCTGGGGCAGTAGCGCCGCCACTTGAGTCTAGATTGTATAGTTGTTTATAGAAGTGTGCAAATTCCTGTACTATGTCCATGGGGTTCATGAGTTTGTCTCCCGTGTGCCCTATTATGTATGGAATTCTATTTGCGGCCTGCTTTGTCCTGAGCCTGTTGGCTAAGTATTTAGATGCTTTACCACTGTGGTGGTATGTGGTGGCTTTTAGTCTGTGTAAAAAGTACTTGGTTTTTTGGGTATTAAGGTTGTTAAGGTCTTGGTACAGGTCACGTAATTTGTCTGCTAGGGCTGGTGTGGGTGTCTTTTTGTTTTGGGCCGTGGCTATCGCTATTTGCTTGTGGCAGTCCAGGAGGGTGGTTTGGTGGCGTCTTTTTATGTACGCGGATTGCTTGATGAACTGTCCCCTCATTACTGCTTTATGTGCGGACCACACCGTGTAGTCCGAGACTTCGCCCGTTGTGTTGGTGAGGAAGTACTCTCTGAGTTCTGTTGTCATTCGCTCAACGAACGGTTTATCTAGGAGGAGAGACTCATTCAGTCTCCAAGTGCCCCTACCATGGGTTTGGTATTTGTCATCTAAGTCAAGAATGTATCTATACGCGTGTAGGTGTTGTGGACCCTAGAATGGAAGGAATAATCCCGGTCAGTAGGGTGTAAGATTCTCCAACTATCGTGTAGGTTGTACAAGGCCAAGGTGTTGGTTATGCGTGTGCAGAGGGCTTGGGTCCCTGTTTTGTGTTTTCCCCGCGGGGAGGCCGTAGTGTCAAGGGTCGGGGATTGAATGAAATTAAAGTCACCACCTAAGATGAGTCCCCCTTGTTTGTAGGTATCAAGTTTAGACAGGAGAGATTTGAGGTACGAGGCTTGGTTGTCATTCGGGAAGTACGTTGTCCCTATGGTGTATTGTGTGTTGTTGAAAAGCCCAACCACTATAATATACCTTCCCGTAGGGTCTATATGGCTGTTTTGTGGAGTGAAGACCACGTCTTTGTGCACCAAGATGGAAACCCCTTTCGTTTTTGATTCTGACAGGGCGTGAAACTGTATAGGGTATAGTTTTAAGAAGAGGGAGGGTGCAGTGGGACCTCTAAAATGCGTTTCTTGGAGGCATGCTATATCTACTGAGTTCTTCTTAAGCTCGTGTAGAAGTAGTCTTCGTTTTTCAGGGGAGTTAAGCCCCCGTACATTATAGGATACTATTCTCATTCTGGTGTGGTTTCCCTAGGATTCGCTGGGGTTGGTACCCGTGTATGTAGGTTGTCGGATTGTCTCTTATAGTGAGGTGATTGGGATATGGACTTTCCTAGTGGTTCAGTGTGATTAGTTATTGTAAAAGGAAGTGGTATGGAGGCAAGAGGGGGATGAAGGAAGGTCAACCTGTGTCCTCTGTTTTCGGGCCGTTTCTTATAGGGTGGAGAAAAGGGGGTAGGCGAGGGCATAGCCCTGTTAGGCTCCTTTGGGTCGAGCCTTAGTGCGGCGCCCGAAGGTCGCTCGCGCGTTAGTGGGGTTGTGAAGTTGGGACTCTCCCGTAAGGAGGGAGTCACTCAATCCAGCACGCACCGGGGCACTATGGGTGCAGGTGTCATTAGCCGTTGTTGCATGTTTTTTTTTTTTTTTTTAAGTATATGTTACGGTGCCCCAACTCCCTAACCTATTGTAATTGGGCAGTGTCAAAATCTAGCCGAGAGTATGTCTCTTTAGCTACTGTAGTAGTTGGTGCGTGGGGAAGTCAGGGGGCCTCAGTAGTCCCTTTTGCAAGTTTTGGGTGTGTAGCAGTAGTATAACAAAACATAAAATGTAAAACAGCATAATAACTAGTGCAACAAAATAGTTCATAACTTGGGTGAGCGTCTTACGTATACCGCATGGGTATGGAGGCTCTTTATCTGGATGCCCAGTCTTGAGTCAGACGAGGAACTTTCGCCGGGCCCGTTTTCGCCATCTCTGCCAGCGGGATACCCCAGTCTTCCAACAGCCGTGTACCTTGTGGTGCCGACGTGATAGAGTGGAGGGAATCTTGGTGATACACTAGCAGCTTGGCAGGGTAACCCCATCTGTAGCTCAGTCCCTGTGTGCGTAGCGACAGCGTGATTTGAGCCACAGATTTGCGGAACTGCAGTGTTTCTGCTGACAGGTCAGAGAAAATTTTTATGTTGTGGTACTTCTCAGGCATCCCTTTGTTTCTGTTTGCTCTGATTATCCGTTCCTTGGCGTGGAAGAAATGCACTCTCGCTATGACGTCTCTCGCTGCGGTGGTAGGTAAGTGGCTAGGTCTCCGAAGACGGTGCGCTCTGTCTAGTAGTAGTTGATCTGGGTGCAGTTCAGGGGTTAGCTGCTGGAACATATCTTGTAAATAGTTGTCTAGGTCAGCATTTGTTACCGATTCAGGTATTCCCCTAAATCTGAGGTTGTTCCTCCTGGACCTGTCTTCCAGGTCTGCCAGCTTGAGTTTTTGGGCTGTGATAGTGTCCTCTAGTTCTTGCATTTTGTCAGCCACACTGTTATGGGCCACTGAGAAGTCATCCATTTTGGATTCCAGGTGTGCAGTACGGGTCCCTATGTCCTGCAGATCCTTTCTGAGCTCAGCTGTCAGTGTGAGCATTTGAGCTCTGAGGCTCTTCTGCACTGAGTCCGTTAATGGTGGCCACCGTGAGGGGCTGGTCGTCCACACTCATTCCAGGGGAGGCTGGGGAAGCGGGTGAGCCCTCCCGCGATCGCGGCGGGCCGCCATCTTGTTCCTGGGTTTCCCGTGTTTTCATCTGTGCGGCTTTTGCTAAGAAGAAGGACGCTTTATCCGCTTTCGCGGGTTTGCATTTTTGCCTCTGGGACATGGTGGGTACTTGCGTGGATGCTTGCGATGGGGATCGCTTGTTAGACCGATTAGTTTATTGCCCCGTGCGGCTCGATCGGCGGGAGCTACTCCGACATGCGGCCGTGCAGCTCGAGCGCCAAACCACGCCCCCCTTCTTTGCATTTTTTAATGCATTGCTAGTGCTAGTTAACTTGAAAGTGAAATGGGTATGTGAGAGGCAGATGAGAGGAGAGGGGCTACAAAAGTTCCCTAGCTGGGAGGTGTGCCAGACAAAGAACACTGACAAACTTTACAATAACTTTTTAAACGTTTATTATATAATTTTCTGACTTTTCTTGCTATTATTTTATTATGCTATTATTATTTTAGTTTGTATATTTGTGTAAAAAGTTGGTCATTTCTGATTGGCATGCAGGGTTCAGAATGGCAAAGCTTGTCTGAGTTGTTGAAATCCTGTGTGTTAAAACCGAGACCTGGAATGACTAAATTACATAATTTGCAAGTAAAGATGGCCTTTTACATATAGTAATAAGAAAAAAGGGCTGGTACAGATTAGTGTTAATCTATGCCGAACAAATCAATCTGTCCGAGATTTAATGATGGATCGATTCGTTCAGGAATAGATTAACAGGAATTTGATTAGTTTGTGAAAATGATTTGTGCACACGTCTAATCTCTGCAGTAGAGGTAGATAGTTCAACCCTCTAACCTGGTACAACCAGAGAAACACATGATGCATGATAAAAATCTCAATTAAAAACCACCATCTGAAACAGTCATCATTCCTGTAGTTTTTTTAGTTTTTTTATTTTCAGTTGCATAATTTTATAGGAATGTAAAATATTGCTGTCCTGGATCATTGCATTAGTATAAAATGAAACACAGAATGCTTTACAAACCACGTCTGTCCTTCACGATCTTGGCATTCAATTAACAAACACTCAGATTTCCAATAC